CTTAGTATCTGGGAATGTCCTTTCTCCAATATATTTGAGAGACGATTTTGCTGAAAAATATGATTCTTGGTTGGCAAGTGCTTTCTTTCAGAGCTTTATATATGTCATCTCAGTGTCTTCTTGCTTCCATAGCTTCTGCTGAGAAATCAAAGTTGAATCTTTCTGGTGCCTCTTTGTAGGTGATTTTTTATATTTTTTTGTCAGCACGGGCTGTTTTCAGAGTTCTTTCTTTTCTTTGACTTTGGAAAGTTTGGTGATGATATGCCTTGTTGGTTTTCTTTTGGTGTCTATCCTGTATGGTGTTCTTTGAATCTCATGAATGGAAATCTTCTCTTCTTTCTTGAAATCAGGCAAGTTTTCTGCCAGTTAATAAATCTTCAATAATTCTTTGCTTTTTTTGGTCTGTCCTGTTCTAGACTTCTAATCAGGCATAGATTCTCCCTTCTGATAGTGTCTCACATAACTTGTAGACTTTCTTCATTGTTCATTATTTTTCTGTGTTTTTTTTCTCAGGTTGCTATCTCCTAGAGATTTGTCCTGTATTTCACTGATTGTATTGTCCATTGATTAAGGTCTATTTTTATCTCCTTCCATTGAGTTATCTATTTCTGATATTTTATTGTTAATTTTCTGGATTTCTCATTGCTCCTTGTATGCTTTCTCATTGTTCATTTTGCCACTTTGCTCTTGTATTGTTTCCCTGAATTCTTCTAGTTTTGTCTGTCTTTTCTTTGATCTCTTTTTGGATTCCATATATGGGTCTTTTGAATTCAGGTAGTTCTATTACCTTTTTTTTCTCAGGAAGGTTTTCTGTCCTTTTATTTTACTCATTTGTCCTGCTTCTTTGTATCATTTGATATTATCTCCTGTATACATGCACTAAAAAGAACTCTGGTAGCGTAGTGGTTACGAGTCAGGCTGCCAACCTCAAGGTCAGCAGTTCGAAACTACCAGCCGCTCCGCGGGAGAAAGATGAAGCATTCTGCTTCCGTAAAGATTTACAGCCTCGGAAACCCTGTGCGGGGTCACTACGAGTCGGAACTGACTCCACGGTACTTACCAACAACAATACATGCAATAAAGTGTTATTATGTTGTTTATTTACTCTTGTATTTTTGTTTGCTTTGTCTTTTTTTGTGTTTTGTTTTGATATATCTAAATGGGCAGGGAAGCTGTCCTCTACTGGTCACTAATGGGACAGCACAGGAATGTTCACCACCTCTCCTCTGCTTGGTGGGGTTGTGGCTGGCGGTGTATGGTGAGGTCCTTCCAGGTTGGTGTTAGCAGTGAGTGTGTCCAGTGGAGGCCAGGACAGGCTGTCTCTGTAGCTGCTGTGAGGGAGTGCTTCCTAAATGGATGGGATAGGCCCGCTGAGCATATGAAAATTTACATTTCAGTAGATAGTGAAGGGGGTGGCACCAAGGGCTTTCATTGCATGATTAGTCGGCCTTTTGGACATTAGATGAAGCCAGTGGTGACTTTTGCTCCTTTTTAGGCAGAGTCGCATTAGATTATGGAGTCTTAGTATAGGTGGCACCTATTGGGATGTGTTAAGAGTTGCTTTTGAGGTGATGTGCCTGGCAGTTAGATTACTGGGTATAGTGCAGGAGTGCAGGGTGTGCTCTCAGCCATTGCTGTGTTATGGGCACTGTGGGTGCACTTTGCTGGTTGCCAGGTGGTCAGGGGGAGAATATGTGGGTTCCTGTTCTCTGTAAGGGTGTTATGGTAGCTCATATCACTGGTTGCTTGGGAGGGAAGGAGATAAGGGGGATGGGGCTTCCAACTCAGGTTAAAGGGCAGGCAACAGAAGAGCACATGTCACCAGCTGAGGGGTGAACAGGGTGTGCCATGGAGTTGGTTCCGACTCCTGCAGAGGGTTTCTGAGACTGTAAATCTTTACGGGAGCAGAAAACCTCCTCTTTCTCCTGTGGGCTTGCTGGTAGTTTCGAACTGCTGACAATGAGGTTAGCAGCCCGACTCGTAACCACCTACGCTACCAGAGCTCCTTGGGTAATGGGGGTAAGGCAGGTGAAATAGGAGGTCATCCCCAGGTGTCAGTCGGCAGGCAGTGCAGCAGCACATCATGAATTGGCTAACAAGCTAGGATGCACATATTGCTATTTGCCAACCTCGTGGTGCTGGAGTGCATGCTGGTGGGTGGGGTGGCAGTGGGGTTCATGGCCTGATCTGATGTGGGTCCTCTTTCATTGCTGTGTTTTTTTCTTTCTCTTTCTCCAGGGAGATTCTGGGGGACCCATGGTCTGTGAATACAATGACACCTGGATGCAGGTGGGGATTGTGAGCTGGGGCCTGGGCTGTGGTCGTCATGGAACGCCTGGAATTTATACGGAAGTTAGCGTCTACAGGAACTGGCTGGTGGCAGTGATGAACCGCTCTACCTGTTTGTATTCAGTGGTGACTCACACCTTATTCCTGTTTCTGGTGCTGCCCCTTGGCATCCTGGAGACCCCGTGACTGCATCTGCCCCCGTCCCTTGTTTCTGAATCTTGAACTTCACCTCTCTTCTGACCTCCATTCCTTCTCAATATCCTGACTCAAATTCTGGTTGGGATTCATTGATCCTGTAAAGATCCATGTGGTTAAGTGTGGCAGTGAGACCCAGAAAGTTCCCTGACCTGGTGCCCTGGTCACTTGCTTAAACCTTGCCGGTGTCCTGAGTCCTTCATCAGTGCTCTCTGCCTGCTAGGAAGGAGAAGGGTGACCTGTTAGGTGGAGCATGGTAGTTCCTTGGCCTTTTGGAGAACATCAAAAGAGAAAGGAAGTTTGATTTGGCATCATCAGTAGTGAAGCTAACATTAGATCCTGCTTCAGATTTTAGGACTTTCCCCTGATACTTGGTCAAACCAGTCAGTTTCTGATTGTGTATAAAGAGAGTGATGGAGTTTCAACATATCCGTACTGAGGCACCAGGCCTGGGAGATCCAAATCCTCTGCCACATAAGCTCTCCCAAGGCAACCCAATCTTGGAAACCCCTTTCTAAATTCTTTAGTAGCCACACCTGGGTCACTTCAAGGTGTGTTGAGGTATATAGAGTGTGGAGATTTAAGATATCTACTGAATAAATACTTGGAGATTCACCTATGTTTCCTGCATTTCTTTTGGCTTGAGGCTTGGGGACAGTGAAGAGAAGTTAGTTTAGAAGATGTTCACAATTTTTTTAAACCCTACAGAGAGTGGAGGCCCCACATACCCTCATGTGAGCTGGACAGATGGTTTTAATCAGTCGAATCTTGCTGCCTGAATTCCTATTACAGCCATCAGCTGGGAATATTATAGCCGAGTTTCCTAGTATTGCAGCTGGGAAGGAAGAAGCAAGAGAGACTGAAAGCAAGAGAGAGGTCGGCATATTGCATCCCAAAATGCTACGTCTGTTTCCTGTCAGTTGCTACTCCTTCCCCTCCAGGTAAAGTATGTAGAGCCTTTGGCCAAGCCCTAACAGGAATTGTGTCCGTACTGGTTTTTTTCCTTCATCACCAGAATAACTCTTTCTCATGATGCTCCAAATTTTCGTCACTGTTCATGACACTTAGGGTTGCCTCCTTTTGAGGTGGTTTAGTGTGTTTTGCATATGGAAAGAAGATGCAAGTGAATATTAGGTGAATAAGAAAGCATACAGAGGTAGAGATTAAGAATTGTCTCCCTTGGTATCTTTCTTTCCTTTCATTCTGGGCATTTAGCTCTTCAGACTGTATTTAAGCCTTTGTTATATGTAGGTGTGGCACTAATTTCTGGCCAATAAGATAGAAACAGAAATAGAATGGATTTTGAGACATGTTCTTAAAGGGAGGATATTTCCGTCTTCGTCCTTCTTTTCTCTCCTGGCTGGGATGTACATATATTGGGTGGACCTTAAGCAGTCATCTTGGAATATGGGGAACATGCTAAAGGTATGGAATAACAATTTAGAAGGGACTTGGCGTTCTGGAATTGTAGGATTGCTATCACTGACTTTCATGCAAGATAGAAGTAAATTTCTCTTTCAATTAAGACACTATTTTGTTGGGTCTTAGTTACTCATAGAAATACCCCATCCTAACTAATTCAA